AATTGCAACTCACACTCTATGTCGATCCATTCTGATAATGTAAATTTTAAGAATTTAATTTGAAAATGTTAGTTGTATTATAAGATAGGAGTTGTAATGCAATGGTTGATTATTATTTTTCTATGATTCAAATACAAACAATGCAGTAACGATATTGCATCCCGTGCAATTCATATTACAAACAGTATAGTAATCATATTACATGCAATTTAAATTTGTTAATTACAAAATTGAAGGTAATTGCAATCCCCGTGTATTTCTTTTGCCTATAAATATTCATGTTTAGGGTCATTTGAAGTTGCAATCTTGATAATTTTCTCTACGATTCAAACTCGATTCCTGTATTTTCTTCCCCTTTTAGCATTACTCATGCACTCAATATTTTACCATTGTACTTTTGATTAACTTGAGCGTTGAAGATCGTAGGATCGTGACCTCCCCTCATTTTTTGCGCTTGGAGAGACTCTGATCTTGCGCATCTAACGCTTGCACTCCAAGTGCACAAGTAACATATCGTGGGAGAGGAGTAGAATCGAGATATATTAACTAGTGTTCTAAAAAGCACACCTAGATGGGGCAAAACGTTTTGCCTTGACAGTAAACTCGAAAATGCGTGCCTCGACACACTTTTTTCCCCTTTTAAAAAATATTTATTCGACTTCAATTTCAGAATTTTAAATGACTTTATCTATACGAACGTTAAAAAATGACTTTATAAATTATGGTGCTATGTAATTATGATTTTGAAACTTATCGTATCGTTAAAAACTTTGAAAATATGTATGAAGTTTCAATAGATCTGTAAAGTAGGACTTGTCTATTTGAAAGATAAAATTTTGAAAAACAATCTAACTTTCGTATTTCGAAAATTTGAAAATTATATAATTGACTAATTGTAAGAATTATTTGGTAAATAACTAGATATAGTATTTCTAATTATACATGTTTTGTATGTATTATTTTATTATTAAATGATATTTAGAATGTTTAAGTATTTAAAATAATAATAAAAATAAGTTACTTTTTTTTTTTTTTTTACATATATACCTCATCTAGGCTCATAAAACTTGACGTGTTGAGTCTTTATCAGATTTGGATGTCAACAATAATATGTTTTGTAATTATCACATAATAAAAGAAAATAGTGAAACAAATACTAAGTGTGTGTTTGGTAGGGATTTTTTGGGGGAAGAATTGATTTTGAATAGTGATATGATGGGAAATGTGTGGTTGAAAAAGAAGAAGATTATTGATGTGATAGAAAATATTATTTTATTGAAAAATGTGTGGTTGAAAATGAGAATTGATTTACTGTTGAAAATGAGAATTGGTACCAAACATTGCCTAAGTAGTTGATTACTAGAAATGGGGGAAAAAAGGTAATAAATCAAAAGAAGGGAGACGTAAACACATGATTTTTGTTTTGCTTCTACTGAAAAAAAAAAAAAAAACACCTAATCTTGATTTTTCGTGTCACCCATTATCAGCAATTCACACGTGCAATTAACACGTGATCATAAAGGGGTACCAAAAAAAAAAAAAAAAAGGAAAAGGAAAAGGGAAGGAGGGACTTGTGGGTGGTCCTGGTTTTGCGTGTTCTAATTAGTAATTACATATTCGACCTAGAAGTCCAAGGAAAGATTCCATTTGCTTTCCAAACAAATAATCTTTATTTTCAAACTAATTTTGTAACCAATTGTTTTCGAACTCATATTAAAGTGGGGGTATGGATAAAATTCCTCCATCTTGGAATCACTTTCTAATTCAATTAGCAAAAGTTAAACTAAAATTTATTATGGTTATAAATGATTCGATTGCAATGTATCATTAGATTGCTTGGTGGAACATGTGATGAAAAATACTTGGGAGTCATAGTTTAGTTATTGATATAACTATTTTCTTTTTCAATCATCATAATTGTCTAAAATTTTTCCTCTTTTTATTTTTTTATGACGTGAAACTTGGAAAGTGTAATACTCTACCGGGCAAACTTCAATATACACACTAGATCGTATTTGATACGTCACATAACCAAGTTCCACTCCAAGTGGAATTTACCATATGGAGTGGTGGAAACCTAAAGTTCTTCATTTTTCAATGGATAATTACACTATACACCCTCAAATCTTTTAAGATTCTACATTTACTATCAATTGTATTTAATTTCCTAAATACTGTAAAATTCGAGTACATACAGAAAACAGATCGTCAAGGAGCACAAGCGACAAAGGAGGTTAAATTCTAGTGACCTAGCTATTACTGTCGGTGCCAATGTCAATAGAAAACTCTGATGGCGACGTGTTTTATATATTTTTAATCATCATCTTCTCCGCACCTAGTTTCATTTCAATTGTTTTTACTGTGACAGAGTCCATTTTTCCTTCGATTTCGAACCAATTTATGTACATTCATGGCTTGAATCAAAGTTTTGGCATGTATGATGAGAACAATGGCTTGATGAATTGTGGATGTGACTATAGACTTGTGATGGTAGGTTTAATTGGAGGTGAAGATGGCGAAGGTGTGTGCAATGATTGATGTGACGATGGTGGGGGTGGTGGTAGCAACGGTGCCAACATTGGATATGCTTTCTAAGAAAATCAAATCCAACTCGGATATGATTTTTGAAGTAACACGAGGAGAGTAATGCAACTTGTATATAATTATTTACATATTAATGTACAAAAAAAGAGGAAAAAAACATTTTGAGAGAGAGAGAGGGAAGAAAATAAGTTAAATTTTATAATACCATATCATCAATCTGTAAATAATTATGTACATGTAACATTACTCATTCAAGGGTTGCGAGAATTTAGGATGTGGTTAGTGGCGACACGAAGATGTAGGTGACGGCAAAGATTGTTGCTNTCCTGTGGAGCCAATTTCAGTGTGAACATTGAGTGGGAGGTCGGTTACATTGCTTAGAGAATCCCCTGTTCCAGTTCCCCATGATCAAATTGCAATGGAAGTTGAAGTGGAAGTTTGAGTTTTCTTGTTCATTTAAAAGTGTCATTTTCAAATAAGTGAAAAATTAATAACAGATGACAAAATTTGGGACGAAAAGTGTCAATTTTGTTTTAAAACCATACCTAATCACTGACGCAGAGGCTGGCCATCCTGTAATCAATGACGTCGGCAAACCAAACTTTACCTTGCCTATATATATTAACGTCGATGCTGGATTTTCGTCAACTCATCTCACTAAGAGAAGCACGAATTTGATCTGATAAGCGAGAAGAAAGTTAGCTATGGCTGAACAAGTTGAAATGCCGCGAGTAAAACTCGGAACCCAAGGACTCGAGGTATGCAATCTTCTTTTCTTAATTCATTCGATTCAATTTGTAAATTCCGTTTGAATTTTTGTTTTCGGCGGAATCCATCGACCAGTGGCCTTTCTTATTATCAAATCTCTGCACAACTTTGCATTTGCGTTTCATCAACGGAACGGAGTGAATTTTGTGGCCTCTCTTACATATTTCTCTGGATACTGGTAAATAAGTGTACCAATTTAATTATTAATATACGAAAATAAGGTTCAATAAAAAAGGACAGAGAATCTGTTACAAAATTACTTGAATTTGAAGAAAATCCATGATTGAATCACTTCAGATTGTTTTATCAAAGATGGAACACTCATAATTGTTCAAATACTTTTACAGTGAATAACACAAGATTCCCACAATCCACGAAATTTGTATATAATTGGGATATGGGTTATGGGTATAAATTGATCGTCAAATAATGCAATCATTCATTAGTTTTCATTAGATGATGTGTTCTTGAATCTTATTGCTTCATCCAATGATAAATATTTTTGATGGCTTGGCAGGTATCAAAGTTAGGTTATGGTTGTATGGGGCTTTCAGGTTCCTACAATAATCCTGTCCCTGACGGGGAAGGAATTGCAATAATAAAAGAGGCATTTAGTAAAGGCATTACATTTTTTGACACATCCGATATTTATGGTTTGAACAATGCCAATGAATACTTGGTCGGAAAGGTAATTTCTAAGATACTTATTCTAGATTATTGCAGCACACTGGAACTTATATGCTGGCAAGATACTTTTTCTTCTTTAGTGGTTATAAGATGATGGTAACCACAGATTAATATTTCAGCACATCAAGTAGAACTAACATGAAAGTTGAAAGCATTTTGCTCAACTATATATTATGCTTTCTTAAATTTTAATTCCAATTGGTTCATTTGAATAAATTGAAGCATCAAGTAGGTAGTAGTATATTGTATAGACACTTTGAAGCCTTAGAGTGGAAAGTTGGAAGCATTCTGTTGATCTATATATTGTGCTTTTTCATGAAATTCAATTCCAATTTCTTCGTTAAACTGCAGCATCAATTAAATATTAGTACGAGCCACAAAAAAAAAATAAAAAAAAGGATTGGAAATTTAGCTTTTGTTTTTTCCTGAACTTAATTGCTTTTAATCTAATTATGTGGTTCTTTCGTCACTAAAGGCTGCAGCATCAATTCAATATTGCTACAGACACAATAAAGTTGGAGTGAAGCCTCAAAATTGAAAGTTGAAATGGTTATACTGAACTGTATATTCTGTTTTTTTTTTTTAAATTGCAATTCAATATTGATTCATTTGTATAGGTTTGTGATTTGTTTTTCTTGTATAAAATCAGTTATTTGGTTTACTTATTTAACTCCATGATAGTAATAACAATAAGGGAGGAAATTCAGTGGTAAAAAGAAATATAGACAGGCAGCTTTTTTGAATCTATATTACAAAGTTTCAATATGTGAAGAAGTTATTCTTTGGAAGGCGATATAAATTGGGTTTTAGGTTATTCTTCATTTATATTTAACTTCAGCTTTTCCATATCGAACCATTAGGTAACTTTTGATTGAAAACTGCTACATGTAACATATAAACATTTATCGTCACCTTTGAGTGACCTTACTTAAGACATTCAATTGTTGCAGGCATTAAAGCAATTACCTCGAGAAAAGGTTCAGTTGGCTACAAAATTTGGCGTATTTAAAGAAGGTGGTCCTGAAGTTATAGTAAAAGGTTCACCTGAATATGCCCGTTCTTGCTGTGAGGCTAGCCTTAAGCGTCTTGATGTGGATTATATTGATCTCTACTACATACATCGAATTGATCAGAGTGTGCCTATTGAAGAGACAGTTAGTTTTTCTTATATACTTTTATTTGTTCTTATATGGCCATTTTGATTAGTGTCCATTGACCTCATTTTCTCTTGTTTTTATTCGTTTTTCTTAACACGCTTTCTATTTCACTTTAATATTACATCTTGATGATAAACTTGTTTACGAGTTGCAGATGGGAGAACTTAAAAAGTTAGTTGACGAAGGTAAAATAAAATATATCGGGTTATCTGAAGCTAGCCCAGACACAATAAGGAGGGCTCATGCAGTTCATCCTATTACTGCTATACAAATGGAATATTCCCTTTGGACTCGTAACATCGAAGAAGAATTTATTCCACTTTGCAGGTTCTAATTATTTCTCAAATATTTCTATTATGGTACTGATGTTTGAATTTCAAATTGTCTTTTTCACGACATAAAGTACTTGATGCCATATTCCTTCTACGATTATCATTGCAATGTTCAGTTCCTATTTTCTAATATAGCAGTTCGCGTTTGTGTACTTCTCTTGTTGATGTGATAAACTCGTATTTTTTGATGGGTTAATACAGTCTCACTTGGGGTTTTGAACATTCTTGCTTTTGATGAGAATACTATTTCTTTTCTTTCTTTTTAACAATCTTCAAATACCCCAGTTCATCTTCTTTCCATTACTATTAAAGTATATGTAGTTTTCATCTCATCCTTCTCCTTCCTGTTCAATAATAATGTTCTCATATAGGATTTCCTTTTCTTTTTGGAATGGTTGATCAGAGAACTTGGTATCGGAATAGTTCCATACAGTCCAGTAGGACGAGGTTTTTTTGCTGGGAAGGCCGTAGTGGAGAGTTTGCCCCCAAATAGCAGACTGGTTTGTATGCTTCCTGTCTTCTAATTTTAGATGTGTAAACTCTTCCTTGGAATCCAAGATGATTTGGTAGTTTCTTCATTTTAGTAATCTGTATTTGCGGAATCGTCCACTAATTTTCGTACCATCAGGAACATCACCCAAGATTTACAAGAGAGAACTTGGATAAGAACAAAGCTATTTATTTTCGTATTGAAGCATTAGCTAAGAAGCATGAATGCACTCCTGCTCAACTTGCGCTTGCATGGGTTCTTCATCAAGGAGATGACATTGTACCTATTCCGGGTAAGTCTTTTCATACATAACTTGCATTAAATGTGATAGAGATTGATAAGACTTTGGCATACTTAGACCTTGTTTGATCCCCATTTTTTTCAAAATATATTTTTCTCTATTTTCTTTTCAACAACACATTCTTTTATAAAATAATATTATATGCAAATTCAAAACTTTTCTTATTTTTTAATCACACATGTTTCATCAATCTACATTTCAAAATGCATTCTACACCAAAAATGGGGCTCAAACTTGGAAAATTGTGATTATTTGTCAATGTTGTAAGAGATTTTACGCAAAATCACATAGTAATGGATGGTGACTAAATCAGTTATTATTACTTTGGCGTACTTAGTTTGTTACATTTGGAAGTTGTGATGTCAATGTTGGAAGAGATTTTATACAAAATGGCATAGTAATTGGATGGTGACTAAAATGTTTTTTAATATATTAATTTCACGAGTTGTTTTTATTTTGACGGTAACATGCCATTCAATCTTGCAATATTGTAGGTACGACTAAGATAAAAAATCTCCACGAGAATATTGGTTCTGTGAAAGTGAAACTTACAAAAGATGATTTAAAAGAGATCTGTGATGCAGTCCCTATCAATGAAGTTGCAGGACCAAAAGCTAACGAGTTTATTACTCGGGTCAATGCGAAATTTGCCAATACCCCACTCCCAAAACGAACTTTGCAAGATTGATAATTCTTTGTATGTTATGTTTTCTAATAATGTGCGCTTCTAATTCTAGTGATATTTGTAGCAATTTCGTCGAATACATACTATAATACTCTTGATTCAATAATGTTAGTAATGTTTCTCTTCAATGGCTATGTTGTATCATGAATGAATCATCAATAAAATGGTATTTTTTTTTTTAAAAGAATGGTTGGTAGACGATTCAGCTACACGTGGATTGCATACTGTGGCATGATATTAATATTACACTTTGTGTTTATTTATTTATTTATAATTATGGCCATATGAGCTCTATGAAAGAAGTGCGGATCAATCAAGAATTCTTTAAAAGGTACATGAATTTTCCCCCAGGGCATTTCATATTTGTGTACTAGTGACTCATGCAATTTTAAATAAAGTGAGTGGATATAATTGAACCTAATATTTCAATCTCTGTCGATTTTCTGTCTTAAAAACCTAACTCATTGACAATAGTAAAAATAGAAAAAAGTAAAATAAAATCTAGTACACCACCATAGTTATTTACATTAATTTCTTCATTTTGTGCATTTTTAAGTTTTATTCTTATTGTAGCATTATTGGGAAGTTGCCTTGCTGGAAAGATAATCGGCCTAGAATTTTTAGTGTATGAAATGATCGAACCTTTCTCCCAGGGAAGTTCGTCATGTTTGTCACTCCTACCCTTGCGTAACGTGATCAACCACTTCTGATATTTTCTATAATCTTAGTGTCTGTTTGATTGCAAAGGTGGAAAATAAATGGAACGAAAATGTTTTACAGAGAATTGATTTGCCTAAAAATTGTTTTATTGGGAATTGTAATTAATTGTGTTTGATTAATAGATTTTCTGTCTTAAAAACCTAACTCATTGACAATAGTAAAAATAGAAAAAAGTAAAATAAAATCTAGTACACCACCATAGTTATTTACATTAATTTCTTCATTTTGTGCATTTTTAAGTTTTATTCTTATTGTAGCATTATTGGGAAGTTGCCTTGCTGGAAAGATAATCGGCCTAGAATTTTTAGTGTATGAAATGATCGAACCTTTCTCCCAGGGAAGTTCGTCATGTTTGTCACTCCTACCCTTGCGTAACGTGATCAACCACTTCTGATATTTTCTATAATCTTAGTGTCTGTTTGATTGCAAATGTGGAAAATAAATGGAACGAAAATGTTTTACAGAGAATTGATTTGCCTAAAAATTGTTTTATGGGGAATTGTAATTAATTGTGTTTGATT